AGTTTGGATGAATTATTGTCCAAAATATAATGTTGAGGTGACACAATCTCATAGGTTTTTCTTGTTTTCCCGTTTTCGCAAATTATTTGTATTTTCGCATGAACCCTCCCCTATATATATATATATATATATATATATATATATATATATATATATATATATATATTTGATAATTATGTTTTCAAAAACAACTTCCAACATGTCTTGACTAATTTAAAGATAAATGGACGTAAAATTGTTTTAAATAAATTTAACTGAATCTATTAATTTTGCGGACATTATGATCGATTACTTTAACAAAAAGAAAATTTGACTTATCAGGGTAATTAGTTTTTTTGTTATGGTCACATATAGATAATTATTTTGGTTTTCTCTTTCTAAAGTTGGTTATAATAGTCACATTTTATTAAGTTCGTTATTTAGTTGTGTAAAAGAAATTACTTAGATATAAAATAATTACTTATTCTCTAAAACGAACAACACCCTTGTCGTGGAAGATACACCAATTCTGATTTTTCGAGTCAACCAAAGATAATAATATAATGAGAAAAAATATTTTGTTTATCGATTACGTTGTATTGCTATTTTATTATACCCGAGATCCTGAGTATTTAAATGGTACAAAAGCTATAATGTAAAGTACAAGTGATTATAGCATGCTCCTAATATGGTTAACCGTTGTTCAAGAAAAGCCCTTTTTTCTCCACTAATCTCTCTCATCCTCTGCTTTTTCCCTCAATAATCTCTCTCCCATTCCCATTCTCTCCCTAAATTCAATTCAAACCCTCACCAGATCTCTCTGATTATCTATCGCTCATCGGAAAAATGGCGTTGTCGGCGCGTGACCAGAATGTCTACATGGCCAAGCTCGCAGAACAGGCGGAACGGTACGACGAAATGGTTGAATTCATGGAGAAAGTCACCGATGAACTCACCGTCGAAGAACGGAATCTCCTTTCCGTTGCCTATAAGAATGTGATCGGCGCTCGGCGTGCTTCCTGGCGTATCATCTCGTCGATCGAGCAGAAAGAGGAGTCGCGTGGTAATGAGGATCACGTGACTGTGATCAAGGACTACAGATCGAAGATCGAGGCGGAGCTCTCGAAAATATGCGACGGTATTTTGAAGCTGCTTGACTCGAGACTCATTCCTTCAGCATCTTCAGGTGATTCAAAGGTGTTTTATCTTAAAATGAAGGGAGATTATCATCGTTACCTTGCTGAGTTTAAAACCGGCGGTGAACGTAAAGAGGCCGCCGAGAGCACTCTCACTGCCTACAAGTCCGCTCAGGTTAATTTCTTCTTTTTGAATTTGTTGAGTGTTATGTAGATTTGGAAACAGGTTCAATGATTTTGTTGAGTTGATTTAATCATCTGAATTGAATTTTTAGGATATTGCGAACACCGAACTTGCCCCAACACACCCGATTCGCCTTGGACTGGCTCTCAATTTCTCTGTGTTTTATTATGAGATTTTGAACTCTCCAGATCGAGCTTGTAACCTTGCGAAACAGGTATGAGTATGAGCTTTAAAACTTCATATCATGATTCATGAAGATCCTTTCAACTTCTTTCACTCTAAAACTCCCTTTTCCAGGCCTTTGATGAAGCAATCGCTGAGTTGGACACATTGGGTGAAGAATCCTACAAAGATAGCACTTTGATCATGCAACTCCTCCGTGATAACCTCACTCTTTGGACCTCTGATATGCAGGTATATAATACACCTTCTCTTTACATTATGCAGTTGTTTTTATGAATCTTTACAATTTTGATATTTGAATTGGTTTTGTTTTGATGCAGGAGGATGGAGCTGATGAGATTAAGGAAGCAGCTCCAAAGCAAAGTGAAGAACAACAACAGCAGTGAGTGTTTGCAGGCTGATTGCCTTTGTTTCTATTTTTATTAGGAGAATCCGGTTGCATTTGGCTTCTAATTTCTCCCTTTTTAATTCGTATGAGATTCTTTTTTGTCATGTTTTAAATTTAGTGTCAATTTGCTAAATGTTCAAGTATTCTGAATGAATTTTAATCTTTTACTTTTTTTTGTATGGATGCATTTGTAATATGTTCTACCGAAGCTTTTTGGCACAGTTTTTAAAAATAGATCTTGAAATTTTGTTGATAATCAAATGCTTTAAAGTCGATATTTTAAAAAAGAAAATGATATTTTAATTATAGGGGTGTGCGTTATAATAGGAATCCCATTAAAATTAGATCTTGAAATTTTGTTGATAATCGAATGCTTTAAAGTCGATATTTTAAAAAAGAAAATGATATTTTAATTATAGGAGTGTGCGTTATAATAGGAATCCCATAAGGGCAGGTATCGATATAAGTTCTAACAATATTTTTAAAATGAATTACAATAATAATTCTCAAATTTCATATTATGCAGGGTTTATGGTTGTTTGTTAGTTTGTTATGGTTTAGTTGGCTGTTTGTTTGTTGCTAACGATGATCACTTGTGAATTAAAACAGTCTAAAAGAATTGCTACATATTGGAATCCTACAGGTTCCGACGTTAGACAACCTGTTGTTCAAGGGAATTGTAAAACTCTACAAATTAATAAGCTATACAACAATATTTTGTGAGCCAATAAAATTAATACATGGTATTATCAATTATGATAAAATTACAACCAGATGAGTGGGTCTAAACCATGTGTCCTCTTGTATAAATTTTATGAACAACAATAACTTGTTTTGTTTGTAAAATCAA